CCTTTCTGTGGTGTAAGTTGTGCAAATCTAAAGCAAAGCTATTTCAGAGTTAAAGGTAGACAGGCTTTTAAATGCTGAGTGGATTTTGGGGGAGGGTTTCCTCTCCGTGTGAGACGTCTTTACACCAGGCAGAACCTGGAACGCCTGATCTTCACCTTGGTGCGCTCTTTCTCCTCTGAGCTGCAGCGGCTGCGGTGTAGCTGCTGCTGCCCCAGCTCGCCCCGGGTACAGGCTCTGATCGCTCTGTGCCACCGTGTTCGGTGATCAGGGTGTGATCGCCCAGCTCCCAGATGCTGGAAGTATCTGGTGAGGTGGGCAGGAGGGATCGCGGTCCCCAGGCCCATCTGTGGAGGCTGCTGGAATACGGAAAGGTCGGTCGGCAGGCGAGGGCTTTCGGAGACGCTGAGTGTCTGCGGGCGGCGAGGCTCAGCCTGGCACTTGTGAACGAGCATTCGACCTGCTCAGCGCTCCACTAAAAAAAAATTAGCAATTATTTTAGCTTAAATACGTCCGTACTGTGTAATCTGATTATACGCTGAACTGTTCCGAAGGGCTGACCGTCGGTGTACCAGCCGCTGCTTTCCCTCGTCCCGTGCCGGTGCGGCGCGATGGACGCGGATCCGAGTGATTCCGGTCCCGCGCTTGCTGCGGGTGCTGCTTCCCCACCCTGGCCAGGCTTGGTGGAAAATTGCGGGATGTTACGGGCTGTGAAGGGGATGCTTCGCACGAGCCGTGTGCCGTTTCGGATCCCTTCGCTGTTTTAGCCATTTAGGTCTAAGGCGCACGCTTCAGAATTAACCGTGAGGAAATAAGAGAGTTAAAAAGCAGGAACAGTCAAACACATCAGTGAAGATACTCAAACTGCAGTCTGATTTTATGTTAAAATGTCTGCTTAGAGGAGTCGTTGAATACATTGTTCAATTTACATAAGAAATGGGTCTGTGGACTTTAAATGAATTAATTATTTGCAGTCAGACGAGCCTTATCTTTTTGATTTGGACTGCAGTCCCACAGCAACCTGCATTTCCTCCAAGTTCACGTGTAAGCCTTCGCACTGCATTTAAGAGAAATACGAACGCTCAGAGCACCGAGCATCTAAATATTTGCCCAGTTATTAATTTTAAGTCTGGATTGCTGTCCTCCAAAGTAGTTGCAAGAAAGTTATGTCATTCATCTCATGTAAGTATTTTTCTTTGCTGGAAAAAGATAGGTTATTAATGTCAAAGAAAAAACCCAGACATTCGGTAAACACGTAGGAGTGAAGCACAGGCTAAATTAACGATATTTAAAATGACATACATAATTATAACGGAAAGGTCAGGGTAGGTGGCAGCTTTCCCAAGTATATAGAGTGTCAGAAAAATCCCCAAAGTGGGTATTTTAATTGAGTTATGTTTTCTTTCCTTCACACTGAAGCATTAAGGTATTACCCCTGTCCCGGGCCCGTGTTCCGAGGATTTAACGTGGCAGAATTCCCAGATCCACATTTCGACCGTAGAAACAGATCATGCACAGGCTCCTGCAGGCAATGAAATGCCACGTTGTGCTTGTCTCCAAATCATCGGTTTCTTTCTTGATTCAAACAAAAATATATTTAATATACGGGGAAAACAAATTTTACAAGGGGAGGATGAATCGAGCGCTGGTTTTGACGTGTGAGAGGGCGCAGCCGCAATGAGCCCTGGGCAGAGCAGCGCCGGAGCCTGGTCCGCAGCTCTGACGCTTGGTCCGGAGCTGGAGCTGCAGGAGCTGGGGAGGTGGCCAGCGTCCAGGCTTCCCGGATTAATTCGTATTAATGATGATTTATCCTCATTAAAAGCCAAGCAAAAAATTGAGCAGTGCAGTTGGCCACTTAGGTTTTGGGTTTTCCTGGGCTGAGCCTGGCTTGAAGCGCCGGTGCCAACAGCAACAGAAGGCTGGAGGGAGGCTTCGCCCTGGCTCCATCGGCGCCGAGGCCGTTTTCCGTCGGGAAAGGGGCCTGCAGGGGCTCCCTGTGCTGAGAGAGGGGGGAAAGTGACTCCTCTACACGTATTCCACAGAGCAGGGATTTATTGTAATGATTTTCTCCGGTAACAACCATGAGAAAGGTGGTTTGGTGGGGTTTTTTTCCCTTCCCTTTTTTCAGTCTTTGATTTGGCTCCAGCCCGCCCCAGTTAGCCCCAGTTAGCTAAGCCAGTGTGAAATCCCTTCCTGCTCTTTTTTTTTTCAATTTTGGTGTCTCATTAGCGATGGACTCGTTAGCAGAGAGGTTTGTGCCCGTGCCTGATCTCCGTGGCCCTGCTCTGAGCCGCGTCTGGACGGAAGCGCGTTCGTGTGTGCAGACAGACGCCTGGCCACGTTCACGCATGCTCACACCAAAACCGCATCTCTGCGCTACACCAAGAAATTGCATTTTGGAATTAAGGAAAAAACAGAACCAGGCAGAGTCCAGCGGAGGGCTGCGAGGATGATGAGGGGACTGGAGCATCTCTCCTGCGAGGAGAGGCTGAGGGAGCTGGGCTTGTTCAGCCTGTAGAAGAGAAGGCTGGGAGGGGACCTTAGAAATGCCCATAAATATCTGCAGGGTGGGTGTCAGGAGGACAGGGCCAGACTCTTTCCAGTGGTGCCCAGCGACAGCACAAGGGA